TGCCCTCAGGGAGGCGCTACAGGTGCATCAGAACCAAAACAAACAGACTCAAGAACAGCTTCTTCCCAAAAGCCATCACCACTCTGAACTCACACATGCACTGACATCACAGCCCACCCCAGCCCCCCCCTCTCATTGTACATGTGTATAGTGACAATGAAGGCATTCTATTCTATTCTATTCTACTAACATATGCCTTAATATGCTTTCTTTTATTTGGGAAGTTTTTGTTTTTTTTAAAGATTTTTTTGGGGGACTTTTTCCCATTTATTGGACAGGACAGTAAAGAGGGACAGGGAAACGTGGGGAGAAGAGTGGGGGAAGGACATGCAGCACATGAGCCGCTGGCTGGACTCAAACCAGGGACTATGGTCCCATATACATGGGTCACGATCTTACCCAGTTGAGCTAACAGGGCGCCCTATTTGTGATGAGTTTTGATTGTACCTGCCACTTTAAACAAATAGCAGTGATGACTGACCCTTTAAGTGTACAGCAAGCACATAGTCTGGCTGTCATGAGAGCATGCTTCTGTTTCAGGATCTCACATTCACACCAGTATTACTAAACAAACAAAACCGGTCATGGCCGGTCTGAGAACCCAGGTGCAGACACAGATTAGGTGGAGACAGGTGAAAGATCACAAACAGTTTAACAAAAGAGTGAAACTGAAACCAATACCAGACTCCATTCAAAAAAGGGTAAAATTGCAAAAACCTAGGACAACTCTAAACTAACACACAGAATAGGCTTAAGGAACTCTAATATGAATAACCTAAAAGTAGACCAAAACAGGGATAGTTATAGGACTGGGGAACTAAACCAAATGGGCAGCCAGGCTCGGGGAATCCGGGTTCTGACAAGAGCTGGGGAAGAGCTGGAGAGGAGCCGGTGGCCGGACCAGGCAGGAGACAGGTCGGGAGTCAGGGTTTCATTGCCTATGATCTGGCAGGGAGTGGAGGAATGAACTGGACTTTTATGAGATTGAAGTGATTGTGAGCAAGTGAGCCAATCACTGCAGCTGTCTCCATTACCTGCAATTAAGCAGGCTGCATGCAGGTCTGAGTAGACAGAGAGAGAGAGAGAGAGAGAGAGAGAGAGAGAGAGAGAGAGAGACAGAGTGAGGGGGAGCCAGGCTGAGAGAGAGGGAGAAAGAGAGGGAGAGAAGGGGATAGAGAAAGTGGGCGCAGGCTGGGGAAGAAACAGGGATCCTTACGCTGTTTCTGTTTTAAGAACTGTTGATCTCTCCCATTAACACAAAGTTCAGAAAACAGGGGATGTCATCTGTTTTATTTCAGCATTGACTGTTGACCTCACCTTAATCATTAATAGTTGTAATTAAGACTGACCACAAGGCTTTTCAAGGGGAGGGAAGGACTTCAGCAAAGCAATGGTGATTATGTTCAGTTATAGGCTCAGAAGGTAGTGTGTGCGAAGAATAAACAAAATATTGTTCATTCTTTCATGATGTATTTCCTCCAAACATCAGGCAATTTCATATGTCCCTCTTCTGACATCTTTTGACCATTAATGCATATAATTTAGGATTTCTAGGAGTGCAACTACCAATGAAAGAGCACGGTGTTTTAGAGCTTATCTTTATTCTTTCTTCAGATGTAAATGTGTAATTGAAAACTTTATTTCTTTAAGGATCACCACTACAGCTGCCTGCATGATGGACCTACGCAGATACCCACTGGATGAACAGAACTGCACCTTGGAAATTGAGAGCTGTAAGTGGCACTGAGATTGTAAATCTGTTTTTGTGCACATGATTATCCAAAGCCACAGTGCTTATGGCCATTGATGGGGTTAGAAACATAGACTGATTTCCCTCAACTGTGTGTGGACACCCAATAACTGCATCAGTCCATTTTTTATTCTACAAGCCATGCACTTGTAAGCAAGACATGCCTATTTTAACTCATTTTCTTGGGCCAAAAACTCACCTTCAACCTGAGGAGAGCATTCCACCTTGAAATAGAATGATACATATTCATACAATTTATTGGAATATTTAGAGGAAACTCATCTGTAATTTGTTTTGACAAACAAAGAGTGAGCCCACAAGATGCCAAATCCCAAAGCAGAGTGTTGAAAAGAGGCAACCTGATTAAAGGAAGGGTGAAGGGAATCCTGGCAGGACTCAGGTGCAGCCGAGAGTGGATATGGTGAGGGAATCCTCTAGGAGGAACCAGAAGACAGAGATGGCAGGAATGGAATGGCAGGCTGGATAATTGGTCGGTGGGGAGGGTCAAAGCTGGAACAGAGACGAAAGACATAGGTTTGCACATGGAGCAGATCAGAGCAGAAAACAGAGCAGAATGAGCCAGGACAAACTAACTAGTTGTAGGTTTACAGTTCAGCGTCGGATAGTGGTCTGCTGGCAACTTATATGGGAACTGGAATGAGTGTAGTGAGTGCACCACTCCCCACCGCAGCTGGAGACAATCAGCGATTACTGATCGGTACACCTGCCCGCACCTTACTAATGTGCCTCGCTCAGACGCACCTGAGAGGAAGGACAGAGAAGGAAGGGAAAGGAGGGACAGGTACTGCTACTAGGCAGAGCCGGAGGTGGAGGGCATGACAGTGTATTTATGTAGGCTGTGGACAAACCGTGACAAACCAAACAGATCAGTAATGAGGCTACATGGCTGAATGGAAAATTAGTCTTTTTTTCTATTTTGTATGTGTGGAAATTTAACTTTGCCACCTCCAATAAGTTGCTGTCAGTCAAAAATTTATACACAAAACACTGATAGTTTAACCCACAGTGACACTATGCTTCTTACTCATGGTCCATTGTACAATAATAGTATTACTATTAATACAGAAATCTCTATTTCTACTATTCTTGTCTACACAGTATCTCAAGTCATAATCAGTTTCCTCTAGAAGACTCTTTGGTCAGTGAGGTCATGCTGCACTTTATGCCAACTCGTGCAAATTGGCATGTGAATAAATTATAGATTTAGGTCTGGTCTCATCCCTTTTTCCACTCCCATTTTAGTCTGTCCAAGTCGGCCATCCATTCTTAACTGTTGTTCACCTGTTGCACTACAACTCATTGATCTTGTCTGCAGTATAATATTAACACTTTTCTTGAATCTGATTGGGTCCCATTTTATTTTAAACATGCAGTTGTTCAGCCTTGTTTGAAAGCAAAAAAAATAAAAAATCATAATCCAGCTTCCGTTGAGAAGCACAGACCAATACTTAAACTGTCATTTATCAAAAAAAAATCTTGAAAAAGTAGTTGCCCATCACCTCAGAGGTTTAGAAGTAACATAACATTTTAGAAAAAATTTCAGTCTGGTTCCTGCCAATTGCATTTTACAGAAACTGCCCTACTAAGAATTAACAATGACATAGTGATGTCTTTTGACACAGATTAAAGCTCAGTATTGGTTTTATTCAATCTAAGTGAAACTTTTGACACTGTTGATCACAGGATTTTGAGTGACACACTAAAGCAGTGGGTAGGTGTGTCTGGCAGTCTTTTGGACTGATTATCCTCCTGTCTTTCTGATAGGAGTTTCTCAGTGTCACTTGATCCCTACAAGTTGGATACTGCTGCCTTGTCCTGTGGTGTGCTTCCTGTGCGCTCTCTCTTGGGCGTAGTTTTATTTGCTTTATATCTGCTCCCATTAAGCCAGGTTACAAGCAAAGTTGAAGACACTTGATATCACTTCTTTGCTGACGACATCCAGCTACATGTCTTGCTCACACCTAAACAGACAGAAAAGCAGAAAATGTTCATAATTGTCTGCTTGCTATTAAGGACTGGATGGCAGACAACTACCTACACCTAATTCAGACAAAACTGAGTTGATTCAGGTTTTTAATCTGTCTTCCTATTACTTTGAATAAGACTGTCTATTTATCCTGGATCTACTTACTTTTTTTTTTTTTTTAATTTCCTCTTTTTGTAGTTTTTATGGGCTTATGCTGATTTTCTTAGTTAAACACATTGTGACTTAGTGCTGTGAATAGTGCTATACAAATAAGCTTTATTATTATTATTATTATTATTATTTCTTTTTCATTTAGATCTGACTGGAGTGTCAAATCTTAAATATTGGACAATGCTGACAGTTAAAGTCCCACACATAATTTACAGTACCTCTCCTTCAAGTGAGAGTGGATCCATTTTCACTGTTCACATGCATAAAGAACATGAAATCATGCAAAGCAGAATTTCTGACCAGAATTTTAAATAACTGAATTTTAAAGCAGTTTGGAAAAATAGCATTATTTTTATATCTCTCTGTGCTATGAAGTATTTAACATCTTTCTGATGCTTAACAATGATGGCTGAGATATTATTACTGTGACGGTTGACAAATACACAAATGTGAAATGAAATGATGTAGCAAATGGAAATAAGGCTTGTGATCGGGCACCCAGTTCTGCAGTGATTGAGATTTCTTCTTCAAACAAGATGACGTCACTCTCATGGCAGCTAGTTACAGCAGCTCTCACTCACCGAGTGTCTTTTTCTGTTTATTTTTGTTTTAGTGCTGTGTTTTTCTTGTTTTGTTTTACGGTTAAGTTGCACAAGTGAAGGGTCTCAGCAATGGACATGAAATTAGTGCAGTTTGCTCTGATTTTTCTTCTGTTTTTGAATCTGCTGTTCACATCGGTGATAGCAGACCCAACGCGTAGCAGTGAGCCCATTGTTTACTCTTGAGACCAGCGGTTAGCCCTTGTAGCACTGCGAGACTAGCCAGTGAGAGACCTGATGTCCCCTGTGAGCTTAAGAGGAGGAGAAGGGGAAGACGTGCCGGGGTAGAACGCTGCAACAGCAGAAGATGCTGAAAACGTTAGCTCTATCGGCAACAAGATTAATGAGCTTAAGGCGCTAACGCGGCACCAGCTGGAATACCAGCAGTATAGCATCATGCTGTTCACAGAGACCTGGCTAACGGAGCTAACAACGGACTCCAGTGCTGCGCTGGGAGGCTTTAAGTTGCTGCGAGCAGACAGGATGAACGAGAGCAGTAAGAGGAAAGGAGGGGGACTAGCAATGTTTGTGAACGATGTTTGTGAAGCTGGTGTAACCCTGGGCGCATCACTATCAGGGAAAAACTCTGCAGTAAGGACATTGAACTGCTAGCTGTTAGCATGAGACCTTACTGTCTGCCAAGGGAATTCTCGTGCGTTATTGCGATAGCTGCCTACATTCCCCCCTCTGCTAACGCTAACTCTACTTGTGATGTCCCACACACAGTTACAAGCAGGCTGCAGACACAACACCCAGAGGCCCTCTTCCTTATTTGTGGGGACTTGAACCATGCCTCTCCATCGTCCACACTACCCACACAGTATGTCACCTGCCACACCAGAGACAATAAAATACTGGTACTTTTTTTATGCCAACACCAAAGAGTCATATAAATCATCTCCTCTCTCACCCCTTGGGAAATCGGATCACAACTTGGTTCACCCCCTTCCCTTGTACAAACCTCTGGTACACAGACAGCCAGCTGTCACCCGAGCAGTCAAGAGTTTGTCCGAGGAAGCTGAGGAAACTCTCAAGGACTGTTTCGACACCAGTATGTGTGAACTGTTCTGTGAGGATCATGGGGAGGACATCGACAACCTCACACACTGCATCGCTGATGATATCAATTTATGTGTGGATTACACCAAGTCCACGAGGACTGTACACTGTTTTGCTACAGCAAACCCTGGATGACTCCTAAAATAAAGGCTCTCCTAAAGAATAAACAGAGCAACCTTGATTCACAACAGTGCACGAGCGATAAGTGGAACCAGTGTTAAAGCTGACAGCAAGAACATTTTGCAAGAGTTTATAGACGTTTGTGTTTTTTGAACAGGCGTCTCCACAGTCACCTACAATCTATATTGCCGCTGTAACAGCTGCCTCGCTGACTGAATATCGCCAGTTGATCTGGAACAAGCTTAACTAGCAACATGCTAGCGGTTAGCATTAGCATAGTTAGCACGGTTTGTAAACTTAAAATACAGGCCGAAACACCCATGTGAAGCTCATAGTGTCTTCAAATAACTCAAATAAACAATAAGCAGTCATACACACTGATAGTTCCACTGCAAGGCTCAGACAAACAACTTTGTAGTGGAGCACTAATGATGCAGAACACTTGCCATCTTCTTGCTTGAATGTGCAATAACCCAGAAAAACCACCAGGAAGACACCAACAACCCTCAGGTAGTGACAAGAGTCAGAACAAAGGGCATAACGGCTTCAGGAAGCAGATCAATGATGTAAGCACAAGGGTGATATGAAGACAAGGAAATGGCCCATTCATGACCAAAAACCTCTTGTTGGCCATGATATTTAGGTAGAATGACAGACAAATAAAGGGTTTCAGTGTTCGGGGAGATGGCAGTGACCTCTGTTGGAGGAAAAACAGATTGCAGGTATGAAGAACGACAGAAGGAACTCTGCGTGATTATCTTACCAGAGAACTAGTTGATGTTGGGAAAGGCTGTCTCCACCATGGGTTACCCTGAACCAGATTACTAGAGAGAATAAGAAGCAGGGGTTCAGTTTGGTGTTTTAAAATGGTCGTTTCCCATGAAGAAAATTTTCATCTGACAGAGAAAGAAGGGACGCAGGTAATGCCTACCTTGTTGGGGCTCTTGATTCAACTGGATTAACTTTTTACTAGTCTGAGGCATCTACTTAGAGAAAGTACACATGTTCCCCTTGAGGTTTCCAGAGCATCTGCTCATGTGGACACAG